CTAAGGGGCGCGGTCGTGAGTTTCCAATGGAGTTTTTCCTAAAGAGGGAGAGGGGCTGATCTAGGGGGTTTTTCGTTAAGGGAGTTAACTTACGGAACGTACTCACTTACGGGAAAGTCTCCCCTTTTTGGAACGGCTGCTTACATAACAGTCCGCGTTTATGGGTAGGCGTGCTTCTACGGGATGTTATGATTATTATATTGTTCGTTTTGGAGAGTAAATAAAAAATACATACCGTAGATGTTCATGATGCGTCGTCTTCGAGGTACAAGGAGGAAAAGAGAGAATCAAGTACGTTTATTAGTTTACGCAAAGTAGTKCTTCATATTGATTGGTCAATTTGTTTCCTTTGGGGATATGACGTCATCATTTCGTCTAGATTGAAGGTGGTGTCACAATGAACACCTGGATAGAAAGACCATTTTTTGCACAGACAAAAAAAAATAGATAAAACCCTCTCGAAGAGCACGTGACCAACTGCGATAAGAACACGTGATTATAAACCTTGTTCCTTTAAGGTATTAGATCAGGCTGGAATTCATCATTTTGTTCAACTTTTTTTCGTGGTAGAACATCATTTCATGTAAGAATCAGTTCAAAACTTCCCAAATACAGTCAACAATTAACTTTAATATGTTTTCAGTTCTTTATTTTTTTCAGCTTTTCTACTTTATCTTGTAACTGCTTGCTCTAGGCTCTCCTACAGGCAATTCCTTTGGGAACTATTCCCAAGATAGTAAATCAAACAAAACAAATTAAAATTATTTCACGGTAAGATAATGGTGACTGTCCTTTGTTATAGAACCCTTGTATATAACCTTCAAAKCGGCTTGTTTGGTCCTCCAGATGGGGTATATTCCCATGATCTTCAAGGGTTCTTTAACACTAGTATAGCWACCATTACATTGTTTGATTCACTTTCMAGTGAATGGTTTACCTTTTTTGCGTTTCAAGGAGAAATTGCCTGTGGAAGTCACTACATGGTAACCACAACAGACTTGCAAAGCACTAAGACTGCAAGCTTGATTTTTAAATATTTGTAATGCATTTCTACCCTACACAGGACCTTGTATTCAAAGACTTGTTCAGTATGTTAAGTTTGGATGGTCTAACACCTGTACATTTATATTGAATTCAAGTGATTCTTCACCTCATGACTTATTCATGCTGTCATTTCAAGGGCATTTGTCCACCTTTGAAGACTACTTTCATGGCTAAATGTAATGAGAACATTATTTTGAGTTTTATCTTTCTTTTAGTGAGGTCCTTGGGCATAGATCATTGTCAAAGGCCCGTCAAAATGACCAGCTGTCACTCTCAAAGCAAACAATCCTATGTAATGTTCTTTTAATGTTAGTTGTATACTGAGGTTATTAGCAGTTGTATGTTTTCCATTGCACATTGTCAATGTTTGAAGACTACATGTAAGGGTATTTTCAAAGGCTATTTGTCCACTTTTGGAGAATTTTCGTTAGGTAATTTTCAATTCTATTCCCATCTTTGAGGATAATCTGTTAGGCTACTGGCAGGTGTATTCACAGCTATTTGTCCACTTTTGAGGATCACTCATYAGACTATTGGCAGGTCCAATTTTCCAATTTAGTAGTGTCTATTTGTACATGGTCATTTCAAGATTCTGGTACATACACATATAAGCRTCTCCAAACAGTCTTTTCATAGAAGGAGGTAATTCCCCTTTCTTATTAGCACTTATAATCTCCTCTGGTTCTGCATTAAGCCATTTTGATGCCTCTGGACATGGTGTTACTGATGGAATGTTATAACCATTTTTTTCTCCTGAAAACAAAAAGTGTGAAACATTAAAATAATGGTTTATGGTTGTATTGCCTCCTTCCTTTTATCAACACCAAAACCAAATGACAAATCCATTCCCTCTAGCCCCCCCTCCCCCCTCCCCCATATATACAATGTTGTCAGTAAACCACCAAAAACAAGAACCAATTTGGATGGAGAAAATTTTGAAAAGAAAAGGAGGAAGATATTAGACTACAGTTAACTAACTCTATTGTCGAAGGTATTTTGGAAATGATTGTATATCAACAGGTTAACATTTTGAAGTCTTTATATAGTCTATGGGTATAGCTTCAGATCTGACAATAAAAACAATATGATGCAACCAATGACTCTCTTGCCCAGTCTCAAACTGTCAAGAGACATGATGGATCTGGGTACGAGTTAGGTCCATTACAGTCATGTCACAACTTCATTCTGGTATAAACAGATATTTTCTACCACTATTTAAGCAAGAAAATTTAGAAAAAGAAAAAGTTAAGGATGGAATACAAGTATAATGTAACAGCTCACCTTTTCTGTCAGCCATGCTATCAAAGAAACACCACTCTGATCCAGGCATTGTCCCACACTTCACAAAAGCAACATAGTGACTTGTGTTTATGCACACAACAGCAAACAGTTCCATAGTTTGTTTATCAATAGTTGTGCGTTCTTTACTTTGGCTTTCGTATTCTGATACATATTTGCTATATTCCCTTGGTACGAGGATGGGTGTTGGTTTATGGCTTAATCGTGTACTGTGTGAATGCCACCTGGTATTGCACTCTTTGCAGAAACTAGAAATTCCATTTTCACGTTTCAGACATTTTTCCTGGTAGCATTCTTTGCATTCATAACTTGAAACGTAACCACACACAGAGCACTCACGTGGAACTGCAAAATGAAGATGCAAGAAAAAATAATGATAATGGTGTCATAAACAGATGTATTTAGAGTACATGTATGACTTAAATTTCCATTGTAATACATACTTGAGTGACTGACAGCTGTCAAAATAAACTAACTCTCTAGAAGTGCTAGTCAATTAAGACAGGTAGAAAATACGTTATAACTAAATAGTTTATTAATTTTTAACTAGATTTAGAATAAAATTACAGAGAGAATTTTAGGTGTGAAGTGAGGTTTTGGTTTTACTAGTAGTCTGATTTGCTAAGGCCAAACACAACTAAACAACTTTTGTATATTACATTTTCCTGGTAGCATTCATTGCATTTATAAATTGACATAACCACACACAGAGCATTCTTATGATGTATAAGTCATCCTAGGCTTACAACACACAATCATGTAGCTACAACTGTGGTGGGATTTAAAATAATATTGGTTATTAGCCCCATGGTAGTTGTAGCCATGTTAAGAATGACTTACTCAGAAGTTTTATACAATAATAGTCTCCCTCATGGTTCTCTGTGCCATCTTGAAAGGTAGTCATGCCTTTGCATTAAAGCGAGACAGCCGTTGAGAGTGCAATGATAGATTCCTGTGAATAATTGTCTGTAGGTGTGAAAAAAGGTTTCTATAATTCACATTCAGCAGTTGTCTCGTTTTGATGCAAAGGCACGGCTACCTTTGAAATGCTTCCTTTCAATATGGCGCAGGGAACTGTAAAGAAGACTATTAAAATGCAACGTTTTTTCATTCAGTCTTGATAATGGCTCGGTGCGCCGAAAAGCTCGATGAAAATAAATATCTTTTAGCTTGAAGTAGTGCTTACATTGTAAAGACTATTGTTGGTATAAGTTGTGCCATCTAATATGGCCTTTAATAGCCAACACGTGGCAAAGAACCAACCACATTGTTGGCATTATTTTTTTGTGGGAAAAACTGAAATAACGAAATGAATAAACAACTTGCTTTCTGTATCTAAACATGATAAAAAATTAAGTAACTACAATAGATCTCTTTAGAGTCTTACCATTTTCCAAGATGTGTGTTATGTCTAGTTTTAGGTCTGGAAGAATTAGATCATACATCTTGTATTTCTTACCAAATCTTGGCATTTGCAGTATCATGCATGATGGAACCTAAGGAAATGCAAAAACCTCCTAGATATAAAAACACTGGAAACTATGCTACTGTCAAGTAATTGCTTTATCACATAATTACACCACACCAAAACATTTTATTGTTTTTGGTGATTAATTGATTGAAAAACTGATCGAATTATTGACTGACTGTTGGATTGATTGGTTGATTATTGTATTAAGTGACTGATTGGCTTAGTGGTTGATTGACAGAATGATTGATTGACTGATTGATTGGTTGATTTAATGGATTCACTGATAGGGTGATTGTTTGAATGACTGACTGTTGGATTGATTGGCTGATTATTGTATTAAGTGCCTGCTTAATTGATTGATTGATAGGCCGATTGAATGACTGATTGAATAATAGGTTGTTTGAGTATTTGAATTATTAGTTGATTGACTGATTAATGGATTCACTGATCAGTTGATTGATTGAATGATTGATGGATTGATTGAATGGTTGGTTGATTTATTTATTGATTGATTGATTGAATGATTGATTGATTGAATATAATGAATGATAAATTGAATATAATGAATGATTGGTTTAAGGTACATACCTCACTAAGCTTGAGATCTGAGAAAAAGAAGGATTGCTCAACTAGTTGCTGTACAGAAGCCAATACAATCGATTCATCTTTCTCCGTGATGATCTGGTAATAGTTGGACTCCTCGCACCGGTTATTTGGAATCCTACAATGATAATTATATTGGTTCAGCAAATTGTTAATCCAGGGTTCGTGCTGCAATTTCATCTAGCCTCTGTAATTTCCTCTATATGTTTTTAGAAACACTCTTAGTATCACTACATGTAAGGAAGGTATTTTTTTGGCTTACTTTAATTTCAGTAAWGGTTCACTCTTAAGTACTTGTTGAAGAAGTGTGTTAAGAAATTCCTCTGGGTCTGCAACAACCAAACAATATATATCACATACTATACTTAAGTTATTTGTACTTGAATTTAGCAGTTAAAAGAAAAAGAAAGAAAGTGTGTTGTTATGAGCAAGAGCCTTGCTATGAAAAATACAATGACAATTTGACTATAAATAAAGATTCTGAGCTTCAAAGAAAGTACACCTGGAGCTGTCAATATTATTGGAAAAAATAGGAAAGAAAAAAAGGTAAAATAATGAAAATAATGACAGCCACAGATGGAGTATCTGAGTGAGTTAATAGGATTACTATAATTTCAGTAATTTGACAGTTACCTTTTTCTTCATTCATAAGACCAGAAGTAGATCCAAGTTCATCCAACAACTTTCTTAACTGAAGAACTCTATCTGCTCTTACAAAACCATTACTGAAAAAAAGACAATATTATTTAAATTACTCAATTATACAACAGCACATTGTCACTTATTGTACATTCATGTAACAGGGCCAAAAACATGAACAACTAAATTTGATCATCATTTGATCATTTGGAAACTTTGTATTTTGATAGTTTGTTTGCTCTGAAGTTGAATCAATCCAAGAATTTCTTTGTTTTGTTTGAATTTTTTGTTGTTTTTGTTTCTTATAGAGGAGCTTTCTGTAAACTTGTTCATTCACTGGTTGATTTGTAGTAAGCTGACATACCCTAAGTCTCAAAAAACCCTAAATCCCAATGATTTTTGTAAACTTTGAAATTGTGATACAGCAGTTAAGGACTAGGCTACCACCTTCTCAGAGGATACAATTCTTAACTATTAAGCACCTAATCATATCTAGTTATCAACTCTGTTATACAATAACAAAGAATTCATCAAGGCATAGACAAGACACAATGACTAATAACAAAACAAAGACTAAACAAAAAAAGTGCAATGGAAATAAATGTCTTCTTTGATTCCTTCGTCATTGCATTTTTGCCTCGATGATTCTTAAGCCGCAGGTACATGAGCAATTTTTGCTTGCACAGGTGACGCAATTTTGTAAAAATCACCAGCGCACGATGTATGGCTACACGAGTAACAATGCTGTATAAACAAAAACATCCTCACAGATACTTATTTGAATCTCCATAAAGAGGTATATGACTGTACAAAACAGCTCAAATTCAATGTTCAGCTTTCATCGTACGTGAAAATCATGTTGCCTGCACAAGTGAAAAGTCGCTTGTGTAGCCGCGGCTTTAGTTACTGTAGCTAATGACCGATACTTTTTTTTTGGCCCTAAACTACCAACCTTCTTAGAGGATTTACGATACCATCCTTTAAGACCTTCTGAACTGTTTCATACTGATCAAGATCACTTTCAGTCTTGCTTCTATACAGTAAACTATCAAAGACAGTGGTAAAAGCAAACATGCCRAACAGTGTAGCATCCAGGTARCAGGAATTATGATGCCCTTGAATCCCCCTCATTTTGCCTTGCCGTTCATAATCTAAGGAGTCAGGAGGGGGCACTGTGCCTTCTACGATAGGTGAATCAAGACTGCCAAATGCTGTGGGAAAAAGATAAAGTCWGTGAATACCCTGCGAGCAGAGAAATTTTTCCATCCCCTTCTACAAAGAAAAGAAAAGGAAGGTGTTTTTATTTCCTTTTCTTCGTATAGAAGGGGGTGGAAAAATTCCTCTGCTCACATGGTAGTTAATGAGTTAATGAAAGAACAAATATATCCTTATTTGAAGGCATCGCTCCAGCTTTGTAACTTTTTTTTATGTTCTTGGGCTTCCTGCCAAGWGGATACCAGAGGGATCCCATAACTACAATGAAGGGTTACCTATGATCAAAGCTAGAGCAAACAAATATTGCCTGGTGTTTGACAGAATGTTCAAAGCTTAAACAGGGTATTGGAACTTGACAATATTAAGTTGCCAACAATATATTTATTGGTGCTGGATGACATAGCTGACCAGGGCTTTACAGGGACTGCAGAGTGTGAATTTGTTTGGGGGAACCCCCCATCCCCCTTGCTCCGCGGTCCCTGCTTTTTAGGTACTTGCCTTTGCTTGTATATTTAGAAACATCAACCAGAGACTTTTCCAGAAAGCGTGAATCTCTTCTACAATTTGCCAAGTTAACAAAGAATCCTCTTCCAGGAGGACAAGTGAAGTATCTTATTCCATGAAACACTCCATCGTTACATGAAGCCTGCTCTTCTTCCTGATTGGAATAACAAATAAATGAATGGATGAGTGGATGTTCGAATGATTGAATGGGATGAACAATTGAATGGATGAACATATGGAAAAACAGATGGTCATATATGCATTTTTTCATATCTGTGATATTTTTGTTGCTTAATGTATTTATTATTTAATAATATTTAGCATAAAGCAATATGCAGAAATAGGCCATTTGCATGATGGCATAACTTCACTACAACTACCAGAAAGCCTTGCGCATTTTCTTTGTTATTCAGTAATTAGTACTATTTGTTTCATGCTTTAAGTGCAAGCACTCTGTGACTCAAATTGATCATAATTTCTGCATATATATATGTTATTTACCAGCTTTAGGTCAGTCCGTATAGGAAAACACTGCCTGAGGTCTTGGCAGTACGGAACGAGATCTCTACATAAAAGACCGAGAACAGCGTTTTCCTATATGTACCGAACTATAGCTGGTAAATCACATTTTATTTTTTTTATTTGTATTTTATGCAACTTTGCTCGCAGCCTAGCTGCAGGATACCGTGGACCGGGCAGACTGTGAAAACTGGACCGCGTGCAAGCCAATCACAGTGAGTGAATGACTAGGATACCGGACCGAAAAAAAATAATGCTGTATGTATCTCTAGAAATAGTAAACTATTAGTGTATTTTTCATTAATTGTAAAAAATTACAATAATTATCTCATTAGGAATCATAAGTTCAGTTTTGTTTGTAATAGGTACTCAGTATATTTGTAGTGTATTAAGGACCAGCACTGATTGGATGATTTCTAATTAACTTGTTAAATAAAAGTCATATTTTCTATTCTTTAAATTCCAAGACAGACAGGAATAGCCTTGAATCTATGTGTAAAATGATTGTTTATTCTATTTTTCCTATCCTAGGAATGAGTATTCAAAAAAAGATTTTTCAATAAAATTCCAAACAGTATCAAAAAAACTATGAATAAATAAAAATATTCTCTATAATACTTACCAGCTCTAAACCAGCTACAATTCTATCTTTTAAATCTGGTAGTTTACCAATCCATCGAATCACACCAAACTGACTTCTATTGTTAGTCATGGGTACCTCTACYAGGGATCCAACCTCAAGACCCATAAGATATACATCTAGATCATCTTCTCTTTTCAATACATTGATTTCTTGTACATGACTTTCTAATTCAGCTTTAATGTCATCTTCTTCTTTGAAATGTTGCTCAACGTGTCCATCACTCGTGCTTATTACCATCCCTTCCAGCCTTGATTCAGTCKGCAAGTGACTTGTTTTGCTTTGGTCTGAGGTACTGGTTTGACYTTGGCTGATAGGGACAGAGGAAGGAGAATCTGTGCTATGACTTGTTTGATGTGTGCCTCTGGGTACTTTCCTTTGCACTGTTGGGAAAGATCAGGGTTTTTTAAAGACAAAATTTGTTTATATTCAATAAATTTAAACCACCTGTGGGCGATTCAATGTCAGCATTGTGCTTTGTGTTTGAATTGCTTGAGACAAAGTTATTACATGTGTGCCTCTAGACACTTTTTTTTGAACTGTTGGGAAAGATCAGCTTTTTAAGACAAAATTTGTTTGTACTGATGAATGAATTCAAACCACCTGTGTGCAAATTTCAGCAATGTCAGCATTTTTCTTTCACGTTTGACTTGTTTGAGACAAAATTCCTATACCCAGATGTTTTGAGTGGTAAAAACTAGGGTTGTGCTACATTTTCACTACAAAATTCCAGGACTTTTCAAATACTTTTTAAGCACAAAAATGCAATTTCAAGCACCATTTTTGAAGATATTTTTTATGTTTGCAAACATTTCCCATGGGCATGGCAATTTTAAAAAAATAGCCACATTTCGATCTAAAGGCTAAAAAGCAACATATCAGTTCCATCAGATTCAAGGTGTTTTCCAGGAGTTTTAGCAATTTTCCCCATTTTCAAGGGTTTTTCAAGCACACTTAAAACAAGTTTTCAATTCCAGGATTTTCAAGGATTTCAAGGAGTAGCATGAACCATGTAAAAATGTAAAAGTAAAACACTTACTCATTTCATTACTATAGCTCTCAATGTGTGAATCAGTAACTGCCTCAGCAGCTGGTAGCTGTATGTCACTCTTCGTTCCATAAAATCGTGAATTCCCAGGATGGATCCTAAGATGACCAGAAGAACTWACTGGGCTTCTGTTGTAGTGGTCGTCACTGAAATCCATTGCTCCCTCTAGGTTTTGTTCAGGTAATCTTCCTGTTTCTTGAAACATACATTACATTTACATTAGTAAATATTAATTTGAAGTATAATTAATGTGCATGGCAAAAACAAATCAATGTTTTTTGTATTTAGCATGGTCAAGAAATATATTTTTCTTGAGCAGCCACACTTGTAGAAAGCAAAACCTGTTCAATCCAGAAAAAAAGTARCTTGTTAATAAACATTTCTGATGCTCATCATTCAGGCCTCCTTCTGTGCAATTCTGTCATATATTCTTTAAAATTAGCTTTATAGACTAACTATAAAGCATTTTTGCAAAATTGAGGATACCGCTACCCTGGTTCCAGAGGCTTGTCTTTTATTCTTTTGCTTACTATGTTATCGAGCCGCGAAGCGGCGAGACGTTTCCGGTTTTTTTGCCAAGCCTCTGGTCACAAGCGTAGTAAATCTCACTTTCATGCTGTATTTAAGCAAACCAATCACAGATCAGAGTAATATGATCTGTTATCTGTGATGATCTCTTATTGGTTAATTTATTTGACATGTTTGACAGCTAAAACACTCCGATGTGTGATTGGTTTGCTTGAATACAGCATGAAAGTGAGATTTACTACGCTTGTGACCAGAGGCTTGGCGTAAAAACAAACAGATTAACGGAAACGTCTCGCGGCTCGATAACATAGTAAGCAAATAATAGAAGACAAGCCTCTGGAACCAGGGTAGGATACCGCTTGTCTCACCAGTATCTTAGGATTTTTGCTTTTGTAAATTGTAGCTTTTATTTTTTTGCCCTTTCCATAAAGGACACACAAACGAGTGTCACACAACCTAGCAAACTTACCAGTTCAAGACCTACAGGTATACCACCATCAGATTCTACAGTTTCAGCTATGTATCTAACCCATCCTCTTACTGGTTCATCACCCAAAAACACCACAACTTTCTGGTCTATACTCAATTTTTCACTATAATTTGGGAAATTTTGGTCTCTTTTATTTGTTCTGAATCCACTTGGTAACATGTCTTTTAAGGTAAATGATCCTTTGCTTGATTTTTGTGGTGATGATACGTCCCTTCGTGGTGATCTTGAAGATTCTGGAACTGGTCGTATTTTGTCCATTGGCACAAAAACACCACAGTCTTGCTGACACTCAAAAAACCTTTGGTTTCTGAAGGTTCCATCCGTGGTACCATGTCCAATGGCTTCCTATGGTCAAAATGTATCTGATTATGAATATTTATTACCAAATTTAAGAAAAAAATTAAAATTGCATATATGATATTAGATTTAAACAAACATACAATCATGAATAGACAAAATGCTTTTGGACAACATCAAAAGCTTTGATGTTCTGCAGCCAAATCAATATCAATGCATGCTTATATTTTGATRCATTAAAATGATTAATTCGATCAGCCAGGACATTCACTTCTGATATCAGGTTTCACTTTAGCGTCTTATATTCACATGTGTATTTAACAATTCGCAGGCCGTTTTCCATTGTCTGTACTCTTATTGACAATGAAATTGACGTCAAAATGCTCAAAACTCAAGTGGAACCACGAGCTTAAGCGAGTGATTTCACTGCAAAGTTTTGAGCATTTTTGACGTCAATTTCATTGTCAATAAGAGTACAGACAATGGAAAACCGCCTGCGAATTGTTTTTTTACCATAAACAAAAGCTGAAAACAAAGTAAAACTTTAAAAACAAAACCTCTTCTAGCGCGCGCCGGCTCCRTGCGCGAGCGATTCGTCATTTCATCCGTCTGTCCTAGGATTGACAACGGCCCTCGACCAATCAGCGCGCGAGAATTCTACAAGTTATGGTAAAATAGTGTATTTACTCTAGACATATCACTTTAGATTTTTATCTGTCTATATTTTTACTATGGCGGAACAGATTTTACGATCAAAGCCTCGTGTAAATTATAAAATGTTAAATCAGGACAGGACGAGGTTTTTCACRAAAGTTTCTCTGAACTGCCAAGAGATCCCTTGACTACAGAGCCGGCCGGCGATGATGAACTTTCGCTATTAAAAGCGCAGATTGAGGAGGCAAAGGAAGAAAACACTCGACTCTAGAAGGAGGAGGAGCTGTCTGCTTTACGACAGGAGTTACAGGTGTTACAACTTAGCAATAGACAGCTGCAGTCAATCAATCAAGTGCCCTTTGTGCCTCATCACTGGTTGGTTTATGACTCTAGTGATTTTGATTGACAACAGTTTCTTTGCTGAATGCAATACACTAGTTTTCACTGTCCATGTAGAAATGTTGATAATAGGAAATAAAGATGATTATTCGTTGCACAAAAGAGAGATAATCACATGGATTTTGTGTTTCCCATATAAAAC